CCGCGGGGTGGGAGGGCAGCTGTGGGGTGGGGGGTGGGTGGCCATAGGCCCAGCAGCCTCAGTCACCTCACTGCACTCCTGGATCCATTCACTCATGTACTCCCTGTCGTGTGACTGCAAGACTGAGGTGTCTGTCTTTGTGGCCCCTGACTGGAGGTGTCTGTGAAGAGGGGTAGGGGTGGGGAGTGGGCACAAGGGGTTGAGGTCTGCCTCCTTGTGGACAGTGGTGGTGGGGAGGGGGTGCAGGGCACTGGGGTGTGCTTCCCTGGGACAGTGGGGGTGGAGAGGGGATGCAGGGGGCTGGGGTCTGCCTGTCTGGGACAGTTGCACCTCCAGGCTGAAGTCTCTCTCTCCCCCAGGTCTGGCTCAGAAGAAGGTGGCCCCGGCAGAGGTGAGTGTCCAGAGGAGTGACGGGGTCTGAGGGCCGCTGTGTGCAAGGCAGGTGGCAGGGCGGGCTGGGCGAGGGGCCGGGCGAGGGGCCAGATGGCACCCGCAGGACGGGCAGAGAGATACCGAGGTGCAGAGGTGAGGAGTCAGGGTCCCGCCCTCCAGACACCGGGCCTGCAGGCAGCACGGGGCTCCTGGGGCTGCAGGTGGCCCAGACAGGCAGCCAGTGGAGGGGGCTCGCAGGGTGCTGGGCCGCGAAACTCAGGAGGGTGTTGGAAAGTCATCTGTGCCCTTGAGTTTATCGTGGAAAATATGCACCATTGTGCTGTCCCAAGAGGAGTAAGGAGGAAGCCAGGAGTGCCCCCTCAGGAAGCTGCCTCACGTCCTTGTAGTGAATATCCTTCTGGAACCTTCTCCCAGTGTGTGCCTGCATGTGGTTTTGCGGCCTTCTTTCCCTCAGCGTGTCTCCTCCCCAGGTCAGGGCTGCGACGGACCCTGTTAAGATTTTTTTTTTTAAACAAGCATATTTAAAAAAATTTTGAGATGAAATTCACATACCACATTTTTCGCTCATTTAAAATGTCCCACCCAGTGATTTTTTTGTATATTCATGAGTTCATGCAAGCATCACCACTGTCTAGTTCCAGAACGTTCCCAAAAGGAAACCCCGTACCCGTCAGCAGTCTCTCCCCGTTATACCTCAGCCGGCCCCAGATAACCACTGATCTACTTCCTGTCTCTCTGGATTTGCCTGTTCTGACGTTTCATACCCGTGAAGTCAGACAATAGTTGTCCTTTTGCATCTGACTTATTTCGCTCTGCGTAACGTTGTCAGGGTTCATCCACGTTGCAGCGGGGGGACCTCAGTTCTCTTTGTGGCCGAGTATATACTCCACTGTGTGGATGGGCCGGACACCTGGGTTTCCGCGTTTCGGCGACTGTGAATCATGTTGCTGTGAGCACGCGTGTACAGGTCGTTGTGTGCACCTGCGTTTTCCTTTCTCTTGGGACGATCCCTCCAGGGGTGCTTTGAGAGGCGGGCGGTGCGGCGGCAGAGGCGGGCAGGGTGGGCGGGCTCAGGGCCTTGTGCGTCCGTCCCCGGTGGGCGGCAGCTCACCTGTTTCCGCCATTCTTCACACCTAGCGGGTAACCATGGCCCGGCCCTCCCTGCCTTGGGCTCCGTGGCCCAGACAGATACCTCTCAGCCCCCACGGAGCAGACGGGCAATAGACAGACTGTCAGGGGCCCAGTGCGAGGGCACAGGTTCTGGGGTCCGGTATCTTCCGGGGAGCACTGGGGGAGGGGTCGCGGGTGTCGGGAGAGCAAGGGCAGGGGCTGTGGCATCAGTGACCTGGGGGTAAGTGTGAGGAATCCCGGGAGGAGGCGAGTGGCTGGAAAAGGGAGCAGAACACAAGGTCAGGGGTTGATTAGACACTAGACCCTTCCAGGCCTCCGGATAAGTGCTTGGGTTTTTACCGAGGGAGGTGGGAGCCCTGGAGGGCTGTGAGCGGAGGAGGGGCGGGCCTGACTCAGGTGCTCTGGGCGCCCTCTGGCGGCTCTGGGGGGAACGGCCTATGGGGGGCGAGGGCGGAGCCGGGGGACCAGGGTGGAGGGGACTGCACTGGGCCAGGTGGGCGATGATGGGCCTAGACCAGGTGGAGGCAGAGGAGGGGAGAAGTGGGCAGGTTCTGGAAGGATCCGGAAGGTGGAGTTGACAGGATCTGCTGACAGACTGGCTGTGGGAGGGGAGAAAGCCGAGGGCGACTCCAGGTTCTGGCTGAGCAGCTGGGAGGACAGCAGTGGGGGAACGTGGGAGGAGCAGGTTGGGGAAGGCTGGGTACAGTGGGCTGTGTTGAGTGTGAGGTGCCCGTGAGACCCCTGCGTGGGGATGCTGACGGACCCCTGGACAGTGAGCCTCAAGCTGGGGGGGCCAGGGCTGGCGTGGACAGTGTTCAGAGCCCCGAGAGCAGACCAGGTGGCTAGGAGGGGTATAGGTGGAGGAGGGAAGAGGTCTAAGAAGGGACCCAGAAAGGTGGGGGAGCTGGGTGGGTGCGTGGTCCCCCAGAGGGGCAGCATATCCACACTGAGGCTGGGGACGGCTTGCCCACCTGGGCAGGGCCATGATTTTGGGGCCAGGCCCTGGGGGCGTCCAGGACAGTGGGCTAGGCGGGGGGTGGGCAGGCCTGGTGACCCCCACTCCAGGGCATCGGGGAGCCCTTGCTGGGGGTGGAGCGGGAGGGTCCCTTTGCTGAGAGTCGTGCGCCCTCTGGTGGCCAGTGTGGAGAACACGCTGGAAGTGGGCTGAGGGCTGCTGTGGTTGAAGGTGAAGGCGGGAAGGATGGGCGGGGGCAGTGCCGGCCGGTCGGGCTCATGTGAACACTCGGCTTGGAGGGGGAGAGTGGGTGGCCTCCTGAACGGGGCGTAGGCACACACTGGGTGTTTCTCAAATGTCAGTGTCAGGAAGGACCTTCTGGGGGGCCCCCAGCTCCGGTCTGCTCCCCGGCCTGCACCCATTCTCCTGAGGTGCCCGTCCCTGTCCCTCCAGGCTCCCCTGGCCCCTTCGCAGAGTTGCCCCTCTGCTGGGGTGGGGAGGGCAGCAGGTTAAGTCATGTGGAAGAGGCTGTGATGGCAGGGTCACCACACCACGGCTGTCCCCATTCCAGCCTGTGGAGCCAGGCCAGCCCCCGGTCCGCCCCTCAGGGAGATCTGTTTGCAGTAATTCTGGGCAGTGGATCTCACTAGGGGTGATTCTGCCCCCCGGGAGACACTTGGCAATGTCTGGGGACATTTGTAGTTGTCGTGACTAGGGGAGGGGGTGCTACTGGCATCGAGTGGATGGAGGCCAGGGATGCTGCTCAACACCCTACAGAGCCCAGGGCACCCCCAGAGAAGGATCCATGTCAGCAGTGCCGGGGGGCGGGGACCCTGCTGTCTCCTCCACAGCCTGGAAGCCCTGGTGTCAGTGTGAGCCCAGCCCTGTGGGCCCTTCCCACGGCCCTGTGGTCCCTTCCCGCTGCCTGTGGGCCCCTCCCCGTAACCTCTGGGCCTCTCCCCCTAAGCTGTGGGCCCCTTTCCCTGCCCGTGGGCCGCTCCCCCTGCCTGTCAACCTTGCCCAGCTGGGCACAGTGACTAAGCCTCACCAGGATTTCTAGAACATTCTGCTGTGGCGGCGGTGCCTCCTTGCTGACTTTGAACACTATCTGCTTCCTCCTCCCAGGCCCCATCGATGACTGGACAGCTGGGCCCAGGCCATGGGAAGAAGCTGGGCCACCGGGGCGTGGACGCATCCGGAGAGACTACCTACAAGAAGGTTCCTTGTGTGCTGTTAGGCTTCCCCTGGCTGGGGTGGGCAGGGGGGAGAGGAAGGGGCGGGATGGGGGCCTGGCCTGGCCCCCTCAAGCCTATCTGCTCCCTCAAATATGTCCTCCCACCGCCCCCTCCCCCACCACGTACGCAAGGCCCATTAACAGCTGGGGAGGGGGGTGGCCAGGGCCGTGTTTGCCTGCAGAGCCCCCAGACCTGGATGCTGTCCCTGCTGCGCTTCTGCCTTGGCTGGACGCCCCCTCTTGGCCAGGCTCCCTTCCTCAGCAGGACCCCAACCTTCAGCCAAGCCCCACCCCTGGGCTTCAGCACTGCCCTGGCCCTGAGAGTCCCTGTGACCTTGGACAGGCATGCCCCCGCCCCAAGCCCTGACGCCTCATCTAGAGAGTGAGGAAATACTAGGACCCTGGCTCTCCCTCTGGGAGGCCGGGGTGCAGGGTAGGCATCGGCGGGAGGGGTCTTGATGCAGCCGGCTCTCCCTGCAGACCACCTCCTCCACCCTGAAGGGGGCCGTCCAGCTGGGCATCGGCTACACCGTGGGCAACCTGAGCTCCAAGCCAGAACGCGACGTGCTCATGCAGGACTTCTACGTGGTGGAGAGCATCTTCTTCCCCAGGTGCCTCAACGGCCCCTACGCGCAGATCCCGTTCTCATACAAACGGCCTTTCCTCTGCTCCGAATTCACTGCTGAAAATAGCAGCAGCCCCTCCCTAGCGTGTCCTTGGCTTGGAGTTCAGACCCTGGATTAGTCAGGAGAAGGTTGCTGTTGGATCAGAGACACCCAGTCAAGTAGTGGTTTCAGCAAGATAGAAACGCTCTTTTCTCACATAAAAAAACACGCAGGCAGTCCAGGGCTGGTAAGGTGGCTCCACAGCGTCGGGTTCCCCAGTTCCTTCTAGATAGATTCCACCGTCCTCAATATGCTGTTTCTCTAACTAGTGGTCCAGGTGGCTGCTCAGGCTCCTGCCATCATGTCTGCATTCCAGCAGCAGGAAGGGGAGATGGGGAGCACACACCCCTTCTCTTTAGCCAGGAAATCGCACATATCGGCTCTGCCCCACTCCTGTCTCATTGGCCAGAATGCAGTCGTGACCACACCCAGCCACAAGAGAGGCTGGGCAGCATAGTTTTTAATTTATTGTTGCTTCATTGTAAATCAAACATAGTTGTGTGTGTATATATTAACAAGAAGTCAAAGTATTTATATACTGAAGTGTAAAATAAAAATAGTTTTATTTTTGTTGTTGTTGAAAACATACATAGCAGAACGTAACAGTAATCCAGCAGTTTCTCCATGGACAATTCAGTGACATGATTACATTCTTCGAGTTGTGCAGCCATTCTCACCCTCCTTTTCTGAGTTGTTCCTCCCCCATTAACATAAACTCACTGCCCGCTAAGGTTCCTGTCTAACCTTTTGAGTTGCTATTGTCAACATGACCCCGTAGAGATAGTTCTCTGGCAGCGTAGTCTTACCCTGGGTGTCTGTGTGCCCGGCCGACATGTGGGCTCCTCTGCCGGTGGACGAAGGGGACGGTGGTCATTGGGGGACAGCCTGAGACTGGCAGAGTCCCTTTATCCCATCGGGATCCTCTCGTGGCTCTCTGAATGAGGCCATTTGGAGCTCTGCGGCTAGAGGCACCGTCCTGGGCCTGGGGACGGGTGGGCCACTTGGGGTTGGGCAGAAGTAAGGGAGAGGTGCCAAAAAGCCACAGTCCCTCACACGCTCCTTTCTGGATCTTCCCTCCACAGTGAAGGCAGCAACCTCACCCCTGCCCACCACTTCCAGGACTTCAGGTTCAAGACCTACGCTCCCGTTGCCTTCCGCTACTTCCGGGAACTCTTTGGGATCCGGCCGGACGATTACTTGGTAGGTGGATTAGTCAGCTCTGGCTGCGTAACAGAGTCCCACCGACTTAGTGGCTTGAAACAGTGTTGTTAGTTGCTGTCAAGTTCGTTTGGACTCATGGTGACCTGATGTGTCATAGAATGAGATGTTGCCCGGTCCTGCACCATCTTCACATTTGTTGGTATGTTTGAGTCCGTTGTTGGGGATGTTGTGTCCGTCTGTCTCATTAAGGGCTCCCCTCATTTTCACTGCCCCTCTGCTTTACCAGACCCACACACATATTATCTCACAGCTTCTGGTTGCAGCTTAGCTGGGTTCTTTGCTTAGGGTCCCACAAGGCGGCGGTCAGGGTGTTGGATGGGTCTGGGTCTCATCTGAGACTCGACTGGGGACGGATCTGCTTCCAGCTCCCCCTGTTGGCAGGACTTAGTTCCTCGCTTCTGCTTCTTGCCATGTGGGCCTCTCTCTCCAGGTGGCCGCTTCCTGCATCAGAATGTGCAAGGGAGAGGGTCTGCCAGCAAAACAGGTGTGCGTCCCTTACGACCTCGTCACAGACGTGCCATCCCGTCATCTTTACCGTATCCCTTGTTAGAATCGAGTCTCAGGTCCCACCCACAAAGGGCAGGGCGTGGACACCAGGAGGTGCTGCCATTGCGGCCAGCTTTGATTCTGTCCTCCCCAGTGCTGGTTGTGGTCTGACATTCTCAAATTGGAAACATCAAAATCTAGACCGTCGCCTTTGACCTAGCGATCCATTATCAGGACGCCGAAACGCCACAGCGAGACGGACAGACGGGACGCTCCGCACAGTGTCGTCTGCATTTGTCAGTGAGAGTCTCCACTTCAGAAGGGCTCAGGTGGCCCTTTCACACATCTGCCCAGTCGTTGTGTAGCTTTGTGGTTGTATTGCTAGTGGCAATTGAGTGAGCTCTGGCTTGTGGCGACCCCACATACAACAGGATGAGATGTTGCCCGCTCCTGCACCATCTTCACGACAGTTGGTCTGCTCAAGTCCGTGGTTGTGGCCACTGGGTATTTCGAGTGCCTTCCAACCTGAAGGGCTCAGCGTCCAGCACTATGTCAGTCCGTGTTCTTGTAATCTAGAGGGTTTTCACTGGCTTGTTTTTGGAGGTAGATTTCCAGGTCTTTCTTCCTAGTCTCTCTCGGTCTTGAAGCTCCACTGAAACCTGTCCACCACGCGTGACCCTGCTGGTATTTGAGAGACTGGTGGCATAGCTTCCAGCCACACGCAAGCCACCACAGCATGACACACTGACAGACGGTGGTGGAACTTTATGTTGGGAGAACTCAAAATACACAGACAAGCGCGTACACAGCCCTCTGATGCGCTCACCCACTCAGTCCGGCACCTGTAGTCCTCCGGCGTAAGTGTGTCGGTTTCCTGGAGTTGCTGTGACGCAGTACTGCCTGGTGGGTGACTTCAAAGGCCTCGTAGTACCAGAGGCCAGAAGTCTGAGTTCAGGATGTCAGCAGGCCACGCCCCCGCCGGAGGCTCTGGGGAGGGTCCTTTCCTGTCGGCCCTGGCTGTGGTGGTCACAGGCCTTCCCGGGCCTGCCGCTGCAGTGTCGCTGCATCTCTGCCTCCACCTTCACGTGGCTGGCTGGCTGGCGTCTGTCTGCGTGTCCCTTCTTCTCTGTTATAAGGACACCCTTTGTACTGAATCAGGACCCACCCTCCTGCAGTGCGACCTCATGTTAATCTAACTGATAACACCCTCAAAGACCCTATTTCCAAATGCGGTCACATTCACATGTAGTGGGGTTAGGACCTCAGCCTGTCCTTTTGGGGCACGCAGTTCAGTCCGCAACAGTAAGCCTGCTGGTTCTGCGGACACTCACCCGTGGTGACTTGTTTCCTTGTGTTTGGTGGTCTTTGATTGTGAGCTCATCTGTGGTTTATCTGAATCTGTGGGAAGCCTGGGTCCTCATCCGAGGCCACGTTCTTCCAGAAGGACTGGCATTTGCTTAAGTCAGGGCCACGTCTGACCCAGGGACTCCAGTCCCGTTGGCATGCTGGGAGTAACAGTGCCCCTTGCCGAGGCCCAAGGCCCGACCTGCTGACTCCAGTGTCCGTGTGGGCACTGCCCGCCAGCCCCTGCCCACCAGCTCACCGCCCTCGTTCCAGCTCACGGCTTTTCCCTTTCTACCCCTGCCTGGCACCTCGGGGTTTTCCTTTCTTCCCGCAAGCTCCGCAGTCCAGCGCTGGGTGATTTGTGCAGTCTGGTGGTTTTGCAGAAGTGACTCCCAGGTGCTCTAGATCCTGGATTATCATACCGCTGGAAACGGAAACCCAGCAGTACTTATAGTGGCGGAAAAACAGCTTAAATGTCCATTCGCGGGGGGAGGACGAGTGAAAAGTGGCCTCAGAACAGAGCAGAGAGGGGGAGATGTCTAGGCTCTTGTCCGTTGTCGTTGTTAGCTGCCATTGAGGCGGCCCCGATGCGTGACAACCCTATTACGCACAGTGAAACCAAGCACTGCCGGGTCCTGCGCCGTCCCCGTGATCAGTTATGGATTGGATTGTTGTGATCTATAGGGTTCTCACTGGCTGATTTTTGGACGTTGATCACCAGGCCGTTCTTCCTGGTTGGTCTTAGTCTGCTGAAGCCTGTTCTGCATCATAGCCACATGCAAGCTTCCACCAACAGATGGGTGGTGGTCGCGCGTGAGGTGCTTTCACCGGGCATTGAACCTGGGTCCCCTGCGTAGAAGGCAAGAATTCTATCACTGCACCCCCGCTGCCCCCAAACCATGTGCCATTGAGTTGACCCCAGCTCCTGGAGACCCCATGTGTGTCAGAGTAGAACTGTGCTCCGTAGGGTTTTCAGTGGCTGATGTTTCAGAAGTTGATTGCCAGGCCTTTCTTCCAAGGTGCCTCTGGGTGGACTTGAACCTCCAACCTTTCAGTTAGCATCTGAGTGCGTGAACCGTATGTACCACCCAGGTCCTGGTTTCAAAGGTTGTTTGACATGGCCAGGGTGCCGTGCTTCTCTCTGATTGGATGGCTGAGTCACATGCGCTGCCCCACCCTGAGGCATCCTGAGTAATGGTGGTCGCATGGAGGGGCCTGTAACCGTGGGCCTTGGACCTGCCCAGTCTACCTGGGGACTCCTGGGCCGGCCAGCAGGGGCATGAAGGGCTGGGCCAAACAGCCAATAGCACCCCAACTGCTAGAGCCCCATCTGGGCTCTTTTGGAAAAGGGGTCACCCGGGAGCCTTGGCCTTGCAACCCCCTCTTGTCCCTGCCCTGGCCTGACCCGTCCACAGGGGTCTCTGCAGGACCCGGAGAGCCACGCACGTCGAGTCCCACATCCACCGCCCCCCCGGTCCCACCCTCCAAGGGCCACTGCAGGTAGAGAGAGGCTTGGTTCCGGAACTTCCTCTCCTCATAGGTGGAAGGACCTTGCATGTTTTCTTTGGGGCAAAACTAAGTGCGTTCACTCCACCGCCCTCCCCGTGGGCGCGTCTTCGGGTCTGTGTGTCCTTCCTCTCCTGCCGGCGTCCAGGGAGGGACATGCAGGCTTTTCCCGGTTTCTCCATTCAGGGTGACCGTTCCCGCCTGGAGGGTGGGGCCGTGGGCTCTGTGGGGCCGGGGCTGCCTGTCTGGGGTGGCTGGAGCCCCATCATGTCTTGGGAGGGCTGCTCCCTGCCCTGGGATGCCGCATCTGCGTCCAGGGGCGGGCAAGGAGCTGGCCCAGGACGTCTTTGTTCTCTGAAGTGGTTGTTTGTGGCTCGTGGCTCGTGGTAGTGAGCAGGGGAGGGACGGACAGATAGCCAGGCCTGGCGGTGGCTGCAGCTTGGACACATCTGCTCCAGCCTCAAGTCACCCGTGATGGCAGTTTCCTCACTCCCTGCGGCCTGGCATGTCGCAGGCACTCTCCATGCTGCGCCCGTTCCATCTGCCGTCCTGAGAGCAGCCACCTCAGTGCTGTCCTCCCGGGCTCTGGCTGGCAAGGACTGGGCATGGGACGTGGCTTGAGCTGCCGGGGTCCTGGGTGCCATCGGCACTATCTTATATGGGTGCCGGCACACTTGCCCACAAGTGTGGCTGGGCCAATGAACCTTGTCTGGGTGGTACTGCGGCCTCTCGCCCCTTCCAGATGGTGCTCCTAGACCCCTGAGACCATCATGCCTTGGGTCTGAAGCCCACTCTGCCCGCCCCTTATGGCATGTGTGGTGCTTGGCCAGCTGAGTTCGGCCCCGGGCTGCCCACAGCACTGCCATCTGCTCTTACTGTGGGCTGGCAGGAGCCCGCTGTGTCACAGAAGCTTCTGGACAAGGTGTCCTCTCTCTGCTGCCTGCCAGGGCCACCTGAGCCACCCTGCTTCATTGTCCAGCCAGGCGTTTGGACTCTGGGGCACGGGGTCCCCCACCCCTGACTTCCATCGGCCCAGGCAGGGTCCAGGGAGCCTGCTGGGTGGTCATGGTGGGCGGTGGCTGCGGCCGCTGGGGGCCCAGGGGCAGCTGTCCTGTGGCTCCTTGTTGGAGGCCAGTTGGCTCTGAACCCCCAGAGCTGGTTCATTTGCACAAGACTCGGGGGCTTCTCGAGGGGCAGGTCCAGGGCAGGGGCACTCTGCTTCCGTGGTGGGCTCTGGGGGACGAGTGGTCAGGCAGCCGTGGTGCCAGCCTCATGCATGCTGCACGTCCACCTGGCCTGGTGGGGCTTGGCCTCCTCGTCTTTGTCCTGGCTCCCAGGTTGACAGAGTGCCCTGTGACGAGGGCACGGGAAGAGCGTGATGTGGGGGTCGCCACTCTTAAAGCTGTTTCTGGAAGCGACACGCTGCCTTTCTGTCTGCTGCTCTGGGTCCCAGCGAGTCTCCCAGCCATGCTAACTTGAGAGAGGCCAGACAGCACACCCAGCACGCATGATCCCCACAGAGGGCAAGGAACGGCCCTGTGTCTCCCAGTACACCTCCCCGGCCCCCCACACATCACAAGCCATCCATGTGCTCATTCAGCGAATATTCATTCAGCCTTTGCCCTGAGGTGGGCCCGGCGCCCTCAGCACGGTAGTGAACACCCTGCGACCTCAGCTGCGTAAACCAGTGGTGCTCAGTTAGGGCTTGGGGGGTGCAAGGGACAGAAAACCCAGCCCAAATAACCTTACCCACAAACAGGACTGTGCTGGTTTATGAGCTGGAAAAGCTCAGGGGTAGCTGCCTGCAGGCCACCCTTTTCGTTCATTTGCTTCATAAACGTTTCTTGAGCACCTACTGTGTGCCAGGCACTGTAGTAGGTGCTGGGGACATGGAACTTACTAATGGTGGGGAAGGGGAGTGCGGGGAGATAGAAATAAACATGTAGCTGGAACTTGAACGTCAGTGGGAAGAGGAAGTGGGGATGAGGCATGGGATGGGGGGTGCCGGGGCTGGGGGGGGTCGGGGGGAGGACTGCTCATCAGGGCTCCGGATTCTTTCTCCCTCTGCTTTGCCATCCTTGGTACGTGGTTTCTGCCCTTGAAGGTCACCTCGTGGTCCAGCATGATGACTGGGGCTCCAGCCATCATATCTGTGTTCCAGGTGGGAAATAGGCAGGGAGGGGAGAAGGGCCAAGAGAAGAGGTGAGTCTGCTGTCCGCCATGTTTTTAAGGAAACTTCCTCTGAGTCGAACTCAGCAGCTTGTGTTTACGACCCTTTGGCCAGGGTTGACTTTTGCAGTCATGCCTACCTGCAAGGGAGGCTGGGAAACAAAACAGTCAGGTTTCTGTTACCAGCGAAAGGGGGAGACACCTGGGGGGGTGACCTGTAGATCAGTACTCAGGCTGTGGGGTTACCCCGGGGTTAGAATCCTGGCTATGGGGCCTCGGGCAAGTCATGCCCCCTCTCTGAGCCTGTTTCTCTGTGAAATGGAGCCAGCAGCTACCAGCCCTGGGATTATTGGGCAGAGGAGAAGTCAGTGTCCATCTGCCCTGGGCACACGGTGGGTGGGGATTGCCTTGCCCTCACCATCACGGTCACCCCCTCACTGCTGTGGACCCCCATCACCGCCACAGCCCCCTCTCTTACCACCACAGGCCCCTCCCTCACCTCCACGGCCCCCCTCACCTCCCTGGCCCCTCTCTGCCTTTCAGTATTCCCTGTGCAACGAGCCGCTGATTGAGCTCTCCAACCCGGGCGCCAGCGGCTCCCTCTTCTACGTCACCAGTGACGATGAGTTCATCATCAAGACGGTGATGCACAAGGAGGCGGAGTTCCTGCAAAAGCTGCTGCCCGGCTACTACATGGTGTGTGAGCAGCTCGCCTCCTGGGATGTTCTGTGCTGGGCTTCCCCCAGCGGCGCCCGTCTCCACTCAGACTTCTACTCCCTCTTCCCTCCGCACACATAGCAATTCCGCTCGGCCCTAGCTCCCTTCCCTAAACCTGCAGGGACAAACGCTCTGAGTCTCAGGCCAACAGGGATCCCCAGGGGATGGCCCACCCTCCTGGGCAGGTTGATGAGAGACCAGCTTGGTCATTGGAAACTCACCCTTGGGGTCGCCCCGTCAGGGCGCCCCTCCATCATGGGGTGTGCAGTAACCACCGCCTTCTCCTAGCAGTCAGGGGTGGGCACTGGCCCCTTTTGGTTCCTCTGACGCCCTCTGAGTCGTGGGTCCCAGGCGGTGTGGCGTGGGCTCCGACTGCCGGGAAGGAGTGACTCAGAGGCACGGGGGAGGGGGGCTGGCACCAGCTGGAGCCTCACAGAGGCCCAGCTGCCCGAGGCTGCCTGTTGGCACTGTCCCACTTCCGGGCGCCTGTGATTCACACCCGAGGAGGGCACGTCCCCCAGCCACATGTCCCCCAGCCTTCAGAGGTCCCGGCACTCACACGAGGTGGAGGGCAGGTCTGTGTGTGTGTGTGTGTGCATGTGCCGTGTGTGTGGGTCCCGAGCCCCACCCACCACCAGGGCCATGTCCCTAGGCCTGGCTGTGTCAAAATGGACCCTCCTGGAGCTTCCCGTCCTGTGGGCAGACCAGGAGTTAAACTAGTCACTGTCACCGTGTGATGTTGGGGACGCTGTGGGGGGTCAGAGAGGGCTGAGACGCGAGGTGGCCAGGTGCAAACGGGTGGGGCCAGGGGCAGCCCTCCAATCCCACGGAAGGAGGAGCCAGAGCTGAGCTGGCGTGCGTGCGGGCGGGCGTGCGTGCGTGCGTGCGTGCGTGCGTGCGGCAGCCAGGGCGTGGCGGGGGGCAGGGGCATGGCGGGGGGGGAGGCGGGGGGGGGGAGGGGGGGGGGGGGGGGGGGCTGAGGCTCCCACCCTCACAACTGGCCCTCTCCGCCTCCCCCGACCCAGAACCTCAACCAAAACCCACGGACGCTGCTGCCCAAGTTCTACGGGCTGTACTGTGTGCAGTCGGGAGGCAAGAACATCCGCGTGGTGGTGATGAACAACATCCTGCCGCGCGTGGTCAAGATGCACCTCAAGTTTGACCTCAAGGGCTCCACATACAAGCGGCGGGCCAGCAAGAAGGAGAAGGAGAAGAGCATCCCCACCTACAAGGACCTGGACTTCATCCAGGACATGCCCGAGGGCCTCATGCTCGACGCCGACACCTTCACCGCCCTCGTCAAGACACTGCAGCGCGACTGCTTGGTGAGGAGGAGCCCGCGGTCTCAGGGGACCCCTGCACGGCCGGCTGCTCTGCCCCTTGGTCTCCTCCTCCGTAGCTTGTGTCATGATGGACGCCTTGGGGGGCGGTGGGAGTAAGTCAGCTCAGATGCAGAGCACGTGTTGGGGGTGATGGGCAGGGGCCGCTGCGCGTCCTGCTGACCTCCCCGCCCCTCCCGCCTGCAGGTGCTGGAGAGCTTCAAGATAATGGACTACAGCCTGCTGCTGGGCGTGCACAACATCGACCAGCAGGAGCGCGAGCGCCAGGCCGAGGGCGCCCAGAGTACTGCCGACGAGAAGCGGCCCGTGGGCCAGAAGGCGCTCTACTCCACGGCCATGGAGTCCATCCAGGGCGGCGCCACGCGGGGCGAGGCCATCGAGACGGATGACACGTAGGTGCCGGGATGGGCGGGGATCCGTGCAGGAGGCCTTCTGGATCTGCTCTGCCCCATCTTGTCTCAGCCCGTGCAGGGGCGAGGTGGCACGTTCCTGCCTGCTCCAGCCCCCACTGTAGGTGTGTGTCACCCGGAGTCCCCAGTCCCCATTGCTGCTTTCGAGTCCCCGTCTTTCCCTCCGCCAGGCCTTGGTGTCCTAGGGCTGCCCTAACCAAAAACACCACAGGTGGGTGGCCTTGAAGAATTTTTTCCCAGTCCCAGAGGCCAGAAGTCAGAGTTCAGAGTGGAGCTCCAGGGGCGGACCCTCCCTGCTGGTAACCCCTGCATGCGTCTCCTGCTCTTCTTTATAACTCAGGAGGGATTAGGTGTAGGACCCACCCTGCACCGCTGTGAGTGAGTTCACAAAACCGAAGGAAAACCGTGTTTCCAAACAGGCTCACTTTTACAGGTGCCAAAGGCCAGGAATTCAACACGTTTGGGGGACAGAATTCAGTCCCTAAAACCGAGTGTGAAAGCAGGCAGGGAGCGAGCGAAGCACTCGATCGGGCAGCAGAGCGAAGCAGAGAGTCCAGAAAGGTCTCTGTGCCTTGCTGGTTTTGCCGGTAGAGCGAGAACCACCTGGGGCACTGTGAGGGTCAAAGGAATGAGTCCGCACGGTGCAGGGCCTTGGGGCGTGACCATGACCAGATGGACGGACCGCTGGTAGATGGGGCTGAGGCCGTTGGCCGTCCGTTTGGAGCACGCACGGGCCGCCGCCTCACCCACCAAGCAAAGCTGTGGAGACGCTGCTAGATAATACGGGCCAGCGTGATGGTGATCTGGGGAGGGAGACCTTCCTTTTTCAGCCAGATGCAAACCCCCGGAACCCATGAAGGGGCAGGATTGAGAAGCTGGCTGCCGCAGGAGACCAAAGACGAGACAAATAGAGTTAAGAGAAGCCCAGGCTGGTTCTGCCAGCCTAGCTGACCAGGCCTTTCCACGAGCGCCTTGGCTGGGCCCCGCCCTCCAGGGGTCAGGGTTTGATGGAAAACAGACTCACGGAGTTCTTCCCCTTGGCACTACTGACACGGGGGCCAGACCCTTTTCTGGGGCCGGCCGGCCCGTGCACTGTAGGGTGTTGAGCAGCATCCCTGGCCTCCACCCGCTTGATGCCAGTAGTATGCAGCCTCCCCACCAGTTGTGACAACTGCAAATGTCCCCAGACGTCACCCAGTGTCCCCTGGGGGCAGAATTGCCTAGGTAAGAACCCCTGGATTAGGGGATTCCACTGACCCCCCAGGAGACTCTGCGTCCCATAATCATCTGACCTACTGACGTTCTAGGATGCTGCCCAGATTCAAATCCGCACAATGAGTGGGGAGGAGAGAGGAGGGAAATCACAGGAGCTGGAGGGCCCCCCGGCTTCACACTGTCTAACCTGTTGGGGGTTTACTCTGGTGGATGGTGTGAGCAGAGGCTGAACTCAAATTTTTTTTTCAAATAATGAACATAGGGTCTCTCCCCCATGGCACTGCTGACATGGGGCTGGATCCTTCTCTGGGGTGGGGCCATCCCGTGCACTGTAGGGTGTTGAGCAGCATCCCTGGTCTCCACCCACATGATGCTAGTAGCATCCCCCGCCTCAGTCATGACAAATGTAGGACAAATGTCCCCAGATGTGGCCCAGTGTCCCGGGGGCAGAGTGCCCAGGGGAAGACCTCTGTCACAGACAGGTGCACGGCACATCAAGGTTGTCCTCGTGGCCACAGGGCCCAGCTGCCGAGCACCTGCCGAGCACCAGGCTGGGGCCTTCCTTTGGTTACATCGTTCAGCTTTCATGGGGCCCTGGGGGAGGAGGGTGGCGTCACCTTATTTTCAGACCAGGAAGCAAAGGCTCAGAGAGGGTGGGTGGAGCTCGTGCATCGCATGAGCTGTGGAGGACGGAGGAGTAGGGCCCAGGGTCCAGAATCGGGCGAGGCCTGGCCAGCGCCCACCCTCAGACCATCTTGGCCTTTGTAGGGTCTGCGCGGGGCCCGGCAGGGAGAGGCCGGGGGTGCAGGTGAGCGGTGCATGGAGCGAGTGAGCGTGACCCAACGGGTCTGGGACTGTGGTGGCTTCCGGGCAGCTGCCGCTGCTTCTGACCTCACTAACCTGCTGGGTGGGGCGCATGCAGGCTTGAAGCCGGGTGACGTGATTAATCTCCAGACTGTCCAAAACCCCGTGGTGGCCCAGCCTGGGTACAGGTGTGAGTGCATGTTTGCATGTACGTGTGAGTATGTGTGTGCATCCATGTGCATGTTTGCCTGTGTGTGCGAGTACGTGTGAGGGGGCGTGGACGTGCATGTGAGTACGTTTGTATGTGCGCATGAGTGTGTGTATCCGTGTACGTGTGTGCCCATGTGTGCAAGTGCATACGTGAGTGTGGGTGTACGTGCATGTGTGAGTATGTGTGTGTGCTTGCATCTGTGTACACATGCATGTGTGCCCTATGCAAGTGTGTGTGTGTACACGTACGTTTGTGTGTGTGCATCTGTGCTGTGTGCAAGCGTGTCCATGTATGCAAGTGTGACTTTGTGTGTACACGTACATGCATGTGTGGGTCCGTGTTTGTGTGTGAGAGGATGTGTGTGCATCTGTGCCCATGCATGCAGGTGTGAGTACGTCTGCGAGTGTGCACATATGTAAGTTGGATGCAGGCCATGTTGTTAGGTGCCATCAAGTTGGTTCCGACTCAGCGTCCGTATGTACCACAGAATGAAACACTGCCCAGTCCTGTGCCATCCTCACAATCGTTGTTATGCTTGAGCCCATTGCTGCAGTCACTTTGTCAGTCCATCTCATTGAGGGTCTTCCTCTTTTTTGCTGACCGTCTACCAAGCATGATGTCCATATCAGGCCATACCCTTGAGGAAACACCCTTATCAACTGACTGGCTGCTCACCTCAGATCACAAAATGGAGGATGACTACATCATTACATAACCGCCAGCTTACATTCTGGTGATTCAAGTTAGACTGCCATTCACTTGGTCTAGAATTCTTCCTCTTGTACAGATCAAATAAATATTTAGTAGATTTCCCATCTATTTCACTCAGAGGGACACCATGACTAAGTAGCCCACGCCATAAGTCCATATGAGTTAGACTATTCTGATTACTGCTTTGACTCCGCTGTCCATTACGGTAACCACGCCCCCCACCTTGTCTTTGTTGATTGAGTGCAGCCACTTGGCCCCTACCACCAAGGGGTCCAGTCAGCCCCATTGTAGTTAGGTGTCTTAATTCAGTTAGGGCAGCTTCCACTGTCAGATGTGACTTACATAAAATAGCAATCACAGCAGTCTTCAAGGATACTGCCGCTCCCTTCAAAATTTGTTCCTCACAGTTGTGGTAAAAGCTGTGTCCTCCGGACACTCCATGTGTGGGTCTGTGGGTCTAACTTGATAAATCCACTCTAGCATGCCAATTTCCCTAAGCCTTTGGATACCTTCTTCTGCAGTATACCAAGGCAGGTCTGGTACTTCAACTTGATTTAGTGCAGGCCACCACGTAATCCATGCTTCAGCAACCCAACCAAATAAACTATTAGATCCTTTCCTAACTTCTCGAGCTGAAACCTTGAATGAAGAATCTGTGCTTAGTGAGCCCACATCAATAAACTCGGACTGATCCATCTTTATGTTCCTTGCACCATTATCCCACACTCTTAATAGCCATTCCCACACATATTCCCCAGGTTTCTGTTTATACTTATTAGAAAAGTCAAGCAGTCCTTTTGGAGTGTAGCGTACCTCCTCCTGGGTCACACTTTGTACTTTACCTTTTGGGGCTTGCTGGGACTTAAGTCTAGTTTTAGGTCTAGAAGCAAAAATGGGTGGTGAGGGTTTGTCCTGGGGATGTTCAGCAATGTCCTTTAAGGCATCTGCCCCAGGCAATGGCTCAGACAAAGGCTCTTCAGACACAGCTCAGTTAATGTTATCAGATGGGGGGGGGGAGGGGCTGATGGTGTACCGGAGAGGGTGGCTTACGGGACAAAGATGGAGTGATCTCTTCAGATGTGAGTAAGAGGCTGGTTCTGTTGGCAGGAGTGATTTGATGGAATTTGGGGGCTCAGCTTCCCCAGCTTCTTGATTATCTGCCCATATGTCCCCATCCCAAATTTCAGGATCCCACTTCTTCCCAGTCAGCGCCCTCACTTTAACTTCAGACACCACTCAAAGTTGGGAATTCAGTTGGCGTTGTAATTCAGCCACTCTTAGGATAAGATCCGGGTTTGGTTTTGGCAACATCAGCTCCACCACACAAGTGGCAGCTTTGAGGTCTTTTATGCGGCGCTTGAGCTGTGACTGAAGCCCAGAGCCCATCTTTTTCTTCACCAGTTTGTCTAGCGAAAGTAGGACCAACCAACCAGCTTCCCTATAGTTCTCATTCTGACAAAACTGTAGAAAAGTATCAAACATGCTATCACCCAGAGCCTTGCTTCTCACCAGAACTTGGAATGTTGGTGGCGATATTTTGTGTATTGACATTGCCACCTCACGCCATGGATTAGCAGTGCCCTCTTCACTACCGGAGGCAGAGTTGTCAGTGCCTTTAAGACTAACCAGGCTTGACACTAACTAGATAGTAGACAAGAATTATCTTAGGTGAAGGGAAGGACAGCACACACTACAGGGGAAGTCAGCACAACTGGACTAAACCAAAGCTAAGAAGTTTCCTGAATACAACCAAACACTTCAAGGGACAGAGTAACGGGTGGAAGTCTGGGGACCATGCTCTCGGGACATCAAGGTCAATTGCCATAACAAAGTTTATTAAGAAAATGTTCTGCATCCTACTTTGGTGAGTGGCGTCTGGGGTCTTAAAAGCTAGCGAGCAGCCATCTAAGATGCATCAATTGGTCCCAACCCACCTGGAGGAAAGGAGAATGAAGAACACCATAGGCACAAGGAAGGTATTAGCCCAAGAGACAGAAAGGGCCTCGTAGACCAGAGACTTTTTCAGCCTGAGACCAGAAGAACTAGATGGTGCCTGGCTACCACCACTGACTGGCCTGACAGGGAACACAACAGAGAGTCCCAGATGGAGCAGGAGAAAGGTGGGGTGCAGAACTCAAATTCTAGTAAAAAGGCTAGACTTAATGGTCTGACTGAGACTGGAGGATCCCCAGAAAGCATGGCCCCTGGACTATGGGACATAAAATGATACTTGTGAAGAGTGTGTTTCTTAGCTCAAGTAGATATGTGAGACTAAATGGGAAGCTCCTGTCCGGAGGTGAGATGGGAAGGCAGAAAGGGCCAGGAGCTGGTTGATTGGACACAGGAAATCTGGGATGGAAAGGAGGAGTGTGCTGTCATAGTAGAGGGAGAGCAATTAGGGTCACATAACAATGTATGTATAAATGTTTGTATGAGAGACTAACTTGAATTGTAAACTTTCACTTAAAGTACAACAGTAAAAAAAAAAAAAGACCAACCAGACTTGAGAGCCAATTTAGGAAAGTCATCCTTATGAGTCTGTTTCTCTAGAACTACTCTCGGTACTGAATGACTCAGGCTGGGTTCTCCAGAGAAGCAAAACTAGTTAAGAGTGGAGAGAGAGAGAGATTTATATTGAGAAAATGGCTCCCGTGGTTGTAGAGGCTGGCAAGTCCCAAGTCCATGGATCAGGCATCAGGCTGGTGGCTTCTCCTGACCCACATACCTGCAGGGGCTGATGAACCCAAGAACAGAAGATCAGATGGCATGCTGCTGGCTCACAGGCTGCAGAGGCCAGTAAATCCCAAGATTGGCAGACAATATGGCAGGCCACTGGCTCAAGTCCCAAGAACCAGAGGTCAGATGATGATGAGCCGGATGCAGACTCCAGAGCAAGTGTGCGAGCTTTGCCAGAATGTCCGTATAGATATTAGATGCAGGCTACACCCCCGAGGAAAGTCCTCTTACAACTGATGGGCCAATCACATCAGGTCACATCATGGAGGATGACTACATCATTACATAGCTGCCAAATTACATCATTCCATAACTGCCAAACCACCGAGAATCATGGCCTAGCCAGGTTGACACACAACCATCGCAGTGTGTGTACCTGTATGTACAAGTATGTGAGTGCATGTATGAGCACATGTGTGTTGCATGCAGGCGCATGTGTGTACGTGTGCATTGTGTGAGTGCATCTGTGCATGCAGGTGTGTGTGTGTGTGTGCGCGCGCATGCGAGACCCTCCACAGTACCACAATCTGCAGTGTTGGACCCGTGAGGGGCTGGGAGGAGCCGTTTGAGCCCACACTAGGGTAGAGGGTCCCAGGTGCTGGGACCTCTCCTCCAGGTCCAGCTAAGCTGCCACTTTTGGGGGCTGCGTAGACTCTCGAGCCCCCCAGAGGCTCCCTGGGCCCCACTCCCTGCCTGTTCTGTCCCTCCCCATCTCTCTGTCCCCAAGTCCCAGGCCAGGTGTGACCCCCAGAATGGGGGCTCCTCGCCCCCTGCCCTCCTGGCTCATTGCAGTCTGGGCCCACAGCAAGCGGCCCCCTCCCCCGCATAGGTGCTGACCACTCCTTTTGGCCCCTCTCTCTCAGGATGGGTGGAATCCCTGCTGTGAATGGCCGTGGCGAGCGTCTGCTGCTGCACATCGGCATCATCGACATCCTGCAGTCCTACAGGTGGGTGCCTGCCCAGCCCTGACCCCTACCCCTGACCGACGACTGACCCTGACCCTACCCTGACCCCCACCCTGACCCATGACTCTGACTCTGACCCGACCCGACCCCCACCCCAACCCACGACCCTGACCCCGACCTGACCCTGACCCCCACCCCGACCCACAACCCTGACCCTGACCTCCCACCCCAACCTGACCCCCATCCTGACCACTGACCCTGACCCCCACCCCGACCCCTGATCCTGAATCCCCACCCCAACCCGTGACCCTGACCCCACCCCAACCCCGCCCCACATGCCCCCATGATGCCCACTGTCATGGCTGCACTGCCCACTGGAAACAGTTGTACCTGCAGCGTGCTTTGTGCTTCAGACCTCTTTCACCTTCCAGAAGACACCTGCCTGGCCGCTTTCATCAGAAGCCCCGAGGGGAATGTCCTCTGGCTTCTGGAGCAAAGTGCCACACACTGGGCGCCTTTAAACAGCAGGACATATTCCCTCCCAGTTCTGAGGCCGGCAGTCTGAAGGGAAAGTGTCACAGGGCCACACTGTCTGAGGCTCTGAGGGGTCTGCTCCCCGCCTCTCCCAGCTTCCAATTCACCCGCCATCCTGGGCGTTCCTGGCCGTAGGTGCCTCGCTCCAGTCTCTGCCTCTGTCTCCCTTGGGGTGTGTCTGTCTTCTCTCCTGTAAGAACACCACTCCCTTCGGGTCAGGCCCCACCCTCCTCCACTGTCACCTGTGTTAACTGGAGACATCCTGTAAAAACAGCATAGGGGCTGCGTCTGACCTCCTGTCACTTCACCGGGGGAAGGAGAACCAAGATCAACAGCCCCAGGCTGATAGCTGTGAGGTGGGGGTCAGACGTGCCTCCTCTCTGCCATCTTTACCAACTCTGACACCAACCGTCCCTCTCACGGTGCTCTCTGCTTCTCTGCTGGGTTCCATAATTCATTGCAATGGCCACACAGAACTCACAGACCATACTCACGATCATGGGGTTTGTTAGGGAAGTAACAGGTTACAGTTCACGCTGAGAAACACTCAAGATACAGTTCTTCCATCAGGACAGCCTCTTCCCAGCCGTGCTCACCGGCCCGCCTCTCCCTGGTGCTTGGCCTCTGCCCGGAGACACTCAGCTTTCTCTCTCCGTCTCCTGCTGCCGGGTCTCTCCTGCCACCACTGCTCACTGTCTTCAGGGTTACAGCTCTCTCTGTCTCCTGGTTCCAGGAGCTTCTCGGCGCAGGGATCCAGGGCCCAAAGGACGCACTGTCTGTTCCTGGCTGTTCTTCCTTGATGGTGGTAGGATCCTCTCCTTCCCGCCTCTGGGGCGGCTCATTTCCAGCCCAGCGGGATGGCAAAACTGACTAGTCCCTTTGTAATCCCTGTCTGCACAGTCCTGCCCAGTCACCAGGGTAGCAGTTAGAAGACCATGGCCAGAAAGGCCACTCAAAAGTGATCCATCACACCACACATCTGCAAAGGCCGTGTTTCCAGACACGATCACATTCACAGGTACCTGGGTAGGGCTATCTGCTGAGCAAATCATCCGAGAAGCTGGACTACGTGACGAAGACCGGGGCATCAGGATTGGAGGAAGACTCATTAACAACCTGCGATATGCAGATGAGACAACCTTGCTTGCTGAAAGTGAAGAGGACTTGAAGCACTTACTGGTGAAGATCAAAGATCACAGCCTTCAGTATGGATTACACCTCAACATAAAGAAGACAAAAATCCTCACAACTGGACCGATAAGCAACATCATGATAAACGGAGAAAAGACTGATGTTGTCACGGGTTTCATTTTACTTGGATCCACAATCAACGCCCATGGAGGCAGCAGTCAGGAAATCAAACAACATATTACATTTGGCAAATCTGCTGCGAAAAAGTCTTTTTGAAGTGTTAAAAAGCAAAGATGTCACTCTAATGACTAAGGTATGCCTGACCAAGCAGCCATGGTGTTTTCAGTCACCTCATATTCATGTGAAAGCTGGACAATGAATAAGAAAGACCTAAGAAGAACTGATGCCTTTGAATTATGGTGTTGATGAAGAATATTGAATATACCACGGACTGCCAGAAGAACAAACAAATCTGTCTTCGAAGAAGTACAGCCAGAATGCTCCTTAGAAGCAAGGATGGCGAGACTTCGTCCCTCATGATTTGGACATGTTATCAGGAGGGACCAGTCCCCGGAGAAGGACATCATACTTGGTAAAGTAGAGGGTCAGCAAAAAAGAGGAAGACCCTCAACAAGATGGACTGCCACAGTGGCTGCAACAAAGGGCTCAAGCATAACAACGATTGTGAGGATGGCGCAGGACGGGGCAGTGTTTCGTTCTGTTGTACCTGGGGTCGCTATGAGTCGGAACTGACTTGACAGACCTAACAACAACAGGTTAGGGCTTCAGCGTGCCTTTTTGGGGGATACAGTTCAGCCCATAAACCACCCCCCCGACCAGGGAACTCACTTCTAGGGTCCATTCTGGAAATCGCCATCCCTGATTCATGTACCAGGACTATCCTGGCTGAGGTGCTCCTACAAGTCCAGGCTGGAAATCATCTAACGCTCACCATGAGGTGGTGGCTGGTGGCATGTAGGCAGCGTTCTCTCTCTCTTTTATTTTAATAATTTATTTTCTTTTTTATTGTTGTTGAGAATATACACAACAGAACATACATCAGTTCAACAGTTTGTCCATGTACAATTCAGTGACATTGTTACATTCTTCGAGTTTTGCAACCATTCTCATCCTGCGCTTCTGAGTTGTTCTTCCCCCATTAACATAAACTCACTGCCCCCTAAGCTTCCTGTCTAACCTTTCGAGTTGCCGTTGTCATGTTGCTCCCATAGAGATAGTTCTGTAAAACAGCACAGTGCTCAAGGCAGACATTCTTTACTAGTTAAGCAAAACTGTTGTTGGGTTTAAAGAAGACTTCCAGCGATATTTTTGTTTTAAGGTTTAAAGATTCTCAGGGCAACAGTTCTGGGGGTTCATCCAGGCTAAGTGGCTCCAGAAAGTCTGAAGTCCATGAGAATTTGACATTCTGTTCGGCGTTTTCCCCTTTTTGATCAAGATTCTTCTATAAAATCTTTGAACAAAAGGCCAGCGTTCTCTCACGCAGCCGTGTTTATGGAGCATCTGCCATGTGTCTGGGTGGTGCAAACGGTTAGGTGTTCGGCTGCCTACTGAAAGGTTGGAGGTTCAGATCTGCCCAGAGGTGCCTCAGAAGAAAGGCCTGGCAATCTACTTCCCAAAAATCAGCCATTGAGAACCCTGTGGAGCACAATTCTACCCTGACGCACAGGGAGTTGCCACGAGTTGGGGTCGACTTCACGGCAACATGTTTGGTTTTGGTTTGCCATGTGGCAAGGGCTGGGGGCCCATCAGAGAGCAAGGCAGACATTTCCAGCCATGGAGTGAGACGCCGTTGGGAAGTGTTTACAGCCTGCAGAGATGCTCCTGACCTAATGTCCCAGCTGACAAGAGATTTCCACGTGGCATGTGCCGTGTGGTCTCCTGCGTGGGAGACCCCCAGTCCCTACTGGTGGTGGTGGTAATAGTTGCTATAGAGCCCGTTCCGACTCATGGTGACCCCACGCACAACAGAAGAAAATACTGCCCGGTCCTGCGCCATCTTCACGGTCGTTGGTCTGCTCAGGTGCATTACTGCGGCCACTGTGTGTTTTGAATGCCTTCCAACCTAGGGGGCTCATTTTCTTTCCTTTTGTTTTTTTTTTAGTTTTTAATTTTATTGTACTTTAAGTGAAAGTTTACAATTCAGGTTAGTCTCTCATGCAAACATTTATACATACATTGTTACGTGACCCTAGTTGCTCTCCTTATACTGCGACAGCACACTCCTCCTTTCCACCCCGGATTCCCCGTGTCCATTCAACCAGCTTCTGACCCTCTCTGCCTTCCCATCTCACCTCTGGACAGGAGCCACCCATTTAGACTCATGTATCTACTTGAGCTAAGAAGCGCACTCTTCACAAGTATCATTTTATGTCCCATAGTCCAATCTAATCTTTGTCTGAAGAGCTGGCCTAGGGAATGGTTCTAGTGCTTGGTTGACAGAGAGTCCAGGGGCCATGCTCTCTGGGGTTCCTCCAGTCTCAGACCATTTAGTCGGGTCTTTTCACTAGAATTTGGTGCCCCACTTTTCTCCTGCTCCATCAGGGACTCTCTGTTGTGTTCCCTGTCAGGCCGGTCTTTGATGGTAGCTGGGCACCATCTAGTTCTTCTGGTCTCAGGTTGATGAAGTCTCGGGTTTATGTGGCCCTTTCTGTCTCTTGGGTTAATACTTTCCTTGTGTCTATGGTGTTCTTCATTCTCTTTTACGCCAGGTGGGTTGGGACCAATTGATGCATCTTAGATGGCCGCTTGCTAGCTTTTAAGACCCCCGATGCCACTCACCAAAGTAGGATGCAGAACATTTTCTTAATAAACTTTGTTATGCTAATTGACCTAGATGTCCCCTGAAAGCATGGTCTAGGGGGGCTCATTTTCCAGCACTACATCAGACAGTGTTCTGTTGTGCTTAACAGGGTTTTCATTGGCTAAGTTTTCGAAGTGGATCGCCAGGCCTTTCTTCCTAATCTGTCTTAGTCTGGAAGCTCCGCTGAAACCTGTCCACCGTGGGTAACCCTGTCAGTATTTGAAATACTGTGGTGTAGCTTCCAGCATCACGGCCACACACAAGCTGCCACAGTACAACAGACTGACGGATGGGTGTTGGACCCTATTGGTAGCCACTGCTTAAAGTTGGGGCGGTGGGTGACCCCGTTATTCACGTGGTATACTTTGCAAGCTTTTGACAATTAACATTTTTCATCACTGTTGGTTTTTTTTTTTTTTTTTTGGAGCCCCGGTAGTGCATTGGTTAAACATTTGGCTGCTGACCAAAAGGTCAGCAGTTCGAATCCACCGTGTGCTCCTTGGAAACCCTGTGGGGGAGTTCTACTCTGTCCTGTAGGTGCCTGTGAGTCGGAATTGGCTCGACATCAATGGGTTTGGTTTTAGTTTTTTTATTCTGAGAGTAATACGTGTTCATTATAAATAGTTCAAACGTGCTACAAGGGGAGGTTGTCCAAGTGGAAGTCCCCATTTTCCATCCAGATCCCGCCACCACAGAAAGGCTGTTACAATTTGGCATTGGCAGTTTTTCCTTTTTTTTAAGTGTAACATCGTGCTCCTGCTGACTGTACTGTCAGTGTCTTCTCCCCCTCCCAGTGGCCCTGTCTCCTGCAGAGAGCCCTGAGTGGGGGCTGCGGGGCAGAGGGCTTGGCCCACCCTAGGGGGCAGGGGTGTCATGAGGATGTGTACTGATTGGGGCCTTTTCCCTCGCCCTGCCATGCCCTAGACTAGGGGGCACCTGGGGAGGCTGCCTGGAGGAGGCGACGTTCTCCCAGAAGCAGGTATGCTATTGGCCTGGCTGGCGGCTGCAGTGCAGGGTGCTGACTCCGGCAGTGAGAGGAGCTGGACCCAGCCCGAGCCAGGAGCAGAGGAAGGGGCACTCCGGGACAGCCTTGGCCTATTTATCCCCCACAGGAGGGCTGAGCTCCTGCTGTCTTCTTACTTCCTGCCCCAGAGCAGTGATGGCAGGAGCCACAGGGCAGGTGGGGGTGGAAGGACGGGAAGGAGGGATCTGGGCTTCTGGCTGAGCTGCTAGCAGGCCTCAGTTCCTCAGGGGTCGGGGTGGGGGATCCTTCTCTGGGGTGGGGCATCCTTCTCTGGGGTGGGGCGTCCTGTGCACTGTAGGGTATTGAGCAGCATCCCTGGTCTCTACCCACTGCGTGCCAGCAGCACCGCCTCCCCAAGTTGTGACAACCACAAATGCCCCCAGACATTGTCAGTGTCCCCTGGGGACAGAACTGTCTCCTGGGTAAGAGCCCCCCCCCCCCGCCACTAGAGAACGGGACTGACGTTCCAGGTGCTTCTTTTCTCTGCAGGTTCATCAAGAAGCTAGAACACACCTGGAAGGCCCTTGTCCACGATGGGGTGAGCGTCATTCATTCATTCGTTTGTTCAGCCCCTCACCCACAGACATAAAGACCGATGGGTGAGGGCCATGTCCGGGAGTTAAAGAGCTGAAAGACATGTCCCCCCCGCCGCCAGAGGCGCTGTCCGATAGGTGTCCCCTAACAAGGCAGCCACAGCACCCTCGGTGATCAGGGCCAAGAAGGGTAAGCCAGGCAGCTGTAGGAGCCCCAACGGGGGTTCGGACCATTCGGGGAAGTGTATGGAAGACTTCCTGGAGGAGGGGAACCCCCAAGCTGAGTTTGGCAGGATTCCCGAGGAACAGCTTATTCAGATACATTGGGGACTGGTTCAGCAAAGAACATTCCAGAAAGGGGGATGAGGGGCCATGGGCACTGTGGTGGGCTGGAGGACATCTGCCCACTCAGGTGGCAGGACCACTTGCCTATGATCCTGTTTTGGCGTGGGGACTTAGGCCCAGCATGGGCAGGACTTCTAGGTTGTTAAAGAAAAGCTCAAAATCGATGTTTAAATGTTATAATAAATGCCAACAACTTCTTCTTTAAAACATAAAAGACCCTGAGGGCTGACCCCTGCCAGCAGCCTGAACCAGCCCATGCACCCCATCTAGCTGGCTCCAGCCTCAGGGCACAAGACTGCACCCCACTGAAGGGCCCTGCCTCCTGCCAGCTACAAGGACCTGAGGAGAGCCTCAGACCAATTCTTACTAAAGTGTTGAGGACTATTTGTGTAGCTGCAGTCTGTAAAATCCAAGGTCCCAACAAGTCCCCCCTCACCCTTCAGAGGAGCATTTGGAACCTCCAGAATATGTATCCAGAAGTCCGTGGGCATGGCTGTGTGCCAATAAAACCTTATTTACAAAAGCAGAGGGCCGCCCTAGTTTGTGAGCCCCTTTCAGACAATCTCTGGGTTCTTTATTTTTAACATGTCCTTATTCATTAAGGAACCCTGGTGGCACAACAGTTAGCAGCTACTGAAAGGTTGGCAGTTCAAACCCACCCCGTGGCTCCACAGGAGAAAGGCCTGGTGATGTGCTCCCATAACGATTACAGCCTAGAAAACCCTCTGGGCCAGCTCTGTTCTGTCACATGGGCAGCTAGGTGTCAAAATCTACTTGCCAGCACCTAACAACAACTTATTTGTTTACTTGTTAGCTCTTTTACTCACGTGGCTCACAAATAAAACATGACAGATGAATTAATAATGAAAAAAGCCTCCCTCCTGCCCGGCTCCCCACAGCCCAGGCCCCCTCCCGAGAGGCAGCCCCTGTTCCCTGCCTGGACCTCCTTCCAGAAAGGCCCCATGCGATGCACCCATCTCTCCTCCCCTCCTTTTTTACGGGACATGTTAGCTATGGTGCTTTTTATGATTGTTATGATAGACCTTTTAGAGCAGTGTTAGGTTTACAGAAGAACAGGGCAGACAGTGCAGAGTCCCACATACTCCCCGTCCCCGCACAGCGTCCCGTTATCCTTGCTGTTGTTGTGAGTTCCCGTCAAGTTGGCCTCTGACTCACGGCAACCCCGTGCACGGCGGAACGAAATGCAGCCCTGTCCTGCGCCATCCCCATGATCAGTTGCTGATTGGACCATGGGGATCCATAGGGTTTTCATCAGCTGATTTTCAGAAGTCGATCGCCACGCCTTTCTTCCTAGTCCGTCCTAGTCTGGAAGCTCCACTGTAAGCTGTTGAGCAGCCCAGCAGCACGCAGGCCCCCACGGACAGACGGGCGGGTGGTGCTGCGTCTTGGCGTTCCTGTGGTCCGTTGGTTATGACGGATGAGCCAGTGTTGGTCTGTCGTTGTAACTGAAGTCCGTGGTTTTCTTCGGGGCTCACTCTGTGTTGCATGGTCCTGTCACGTGTCCACCGTGACTGCGTGCACAGTCGTGTCACGGCCCTGGCAATGCTCCTCCTCCTCATGCCTCCCTCCGCCCCCTCCACCTCTGGAGTCCCCAGTCTTTTCGCGTCTCTGTCGTTTCGCTCTGCTCCCTTCTACGCCCAGGGGCCCAGCCCGGCACAGTGTCCTGCGGAGCCCAGGCTGCACCTCATCCTTGACAGCCACGCGGTGCCCCGTGCCCCCCACCCTCCGCACCCCCTTACCTCCGCGCCCCCTGCTTCTCTCCTAGGACACGGTGTCCGTGCACCGCCCCAGCTTCTATGCTGAGCGCTTCTTCAAGTTCATGAGCAACACCGTCTTTCGAAAGAACTCCTGTAAGTGGCCCGAGCCCCGTCGCTGGGAAGGACTCGGGTGGAGAGGGCAACCCGGGAGGCCGGGGTGTGTTCCTCCTGCTGCCTGTGCAGTGTCGGGGGCTGTGGGGGTGTCGAGGCCTCCCCTGCCTGCCAGCCATGCCCTCGGCGGACAGTGGTGCCCTCAGGCTGCTGGCCCCCTGAGGGTGCGACACAGCTGTCTGGGCTTGAATCCCGCTTGGCGCCATCCTGGCTGTGTGGCTGCGACCCCGTCTCCGTGCCTCAGTTTCCTCTTCTGCATGGAGTTGTGAGGGAAGGAGCCTACTGTGCCGGGCGAGGCCTGCCTGGGGCAGCCCCAGCACTGACCGCCCTCCCTCCACAGCCCTGAAGTCCTCACCATCCAAGAAGGGGCGCGGGGCCCTGCTGGCCGTCAAGCCCCTGGGGCCCACAGCCGCCTTCTCGGCCAGCCAGATCCCCAGTGAGCGGGAGGATGCGCAGTACGACCTACGGGGGGCCCGCAGCTACCCCACACTGGAGGACGAAGGTACCCGGACCCCATGGGGTTTACAGAGCCACCGGGGAGTGGGGCAGCTGGGCCCGGGCCTGGGGCAAGAGCTGCAGGGAGATCAGCACAGGAGGTACCACCCGGGAGGCAGCAGCCTCTGTCACCAGAGGAGTGCCAGGTGCCAGACGGGGGAAACGCTCCCAGCCCCAGGAATGGAAGATTCTGGGTGGAGAGGGGCTGGGCAGGCATGTGCCCAGCAAGTGTGCAGGAGGGAGGGCAGGTGCCGGAGGGAGGGCTGCGGGCAGCGGAGGTGAGCCGCGTGTGCGGGTGGAACGCCGTGGCAGGGTGGGCATGGCGGCCCCCCACAGTGCTGAGCGTCCCCCCCGTCCCCGTACCCCGGCAGGCCGGCCCGACCTGCTGCCCTGCACGCCACCCTCCTTCGAAGAAGCCACCACCGCCTCCATCGCCACCACCCTGTCGTCCACCTCCCTCTCCATCCCCGAGCGGTCACCCTCGGAGACGTCGGAGCAGCCTCGCTACAGGTGAGGGCGGGTGCGGGGACTCAGGGCAGCTCCGGGCACAGCTCACCCAGGGCAGAGGGGCCGGTGGAGGCAGGCTCAGCGTGGTCTCCCCTTCACCCACTTCTGTCTCTCCACAGACGGCGCACTCAGTCCTCAGGGCAAGACGGCCGGTAAGGCTCCCTTCCCCCACTCTACCACCGTCTCTTCCCTCCCTGCTGCCCCCCTGCCCCACTGCTCCCCTCCCCTCCCTCCCCTAGGCTCTCCCCTTCATACCCCCATGGACCCCAGAAGGACAGTCCCTGTCCCCAGCAGTCCCAGGCTGGGCGTCACATTCGGGGTGGGAACCAGGCCCGACCTGAGGAAGCTCAGGCCACTGGCCAGGGTGGTGCCCAGAGAGAGCGCCTCATGTGGGCCGGGGCTCAGTGGGCACTCCTGTGAGCTGGGAGCTGAGGGGAGACCCTGAGGCACAGTCCCCGCTGCCCCCAGGCCCCAGGAGGAGGTGCACGCGGACGAGGACCTGCAGCAGATCACTGTACAGATGGAGCCTGCGGGCAGCGTGGAGATCGTGGTCCCCAAGGAGGCGGCTGCGGGGTGAGTGACCGTCAGCCCCTCCCTGCCCCACGTCGTCCAGGCCCACTGGGCCCCCGCTGTCATCCCCACTGCCCAGGCCACTTATCCACCTCAGCCTGGTCGCTGCATGGGGAGGCGACCAGCTCTTAGTTGTCCAAGGAGATCCACGGCTCCGTGACAATGGGGCCCAGGCCCCTTCTGCCCCCTTGCTCCCTCCTATAATCTTACCCATCTTCAATGTCCATGGTGGCCCCAACACCATATCCACATTCCCTCCAGCAGGAAGGGGTAAAGGGGAAGGGGATGAGGACGGGCTTCTTGTCAAAGGTGCTCAGAACGTGCACACACGATTTCTGCACAAACCCCATTGGCCAGGCTCAGTCACATGGCCACACTTGTTAGCAAGGCAGGCTGCAAAACGTAGTCCACTCTGGGCAGCCAGGAGCTAAACCTAGCATGAGAAAGAGAAGGGAAGGCGCAGGTTATTGGGGATCCTGGAGGTGGGCCAGGAAATGGTGGTTTCCTGTAGATTTCCAGATCCACTACCACAGTTGGAAGTAATAGCAATAACTTTTTAGGATTCTTCCTTTTGCCCATTATTTGTGGTTATTTTTCCTTTCCTTCCTCACCTGGCCTTTTTTAATCCCCTTTCTTAGCCTTTAACTGGCTTGCAAGAAATGATGACGGTGTCTGGGTTTAGTTCCTCTTTCTCCTGTTCTGTGTTTATTTCATTAACTTCAACTCTTCAGTAATTCCTTCTAACAGCGTCTGTTTATTTTGTTACTTGTTTCTTTTTTTCTAACTTAGGCTGAGTGCTTCAGTTCCTTCTTTTTTTCCTTTCTTAATGATGAGGGTCTTTAAGGCTATGCATTTTCCTTTGAGTACTGCTTTTGCTGCATCTCACAGGGTTTGATGTAAAGTAGTTCATCTTTGTACTGGCTTATTTTCATTTTAATTTCTTCTTTGATCTAAGGCAGTGGTTCTCAATCAGCCGGGGCAGTTTTGCCCCCCAGGGGCCACTGGGCAATTTCTGGAGATACTTGTAGTTATCACAACAGAGGGGCGGGGTGGTACTGGCATCGAGTGGGTGGAGGCCATGGGTGCACAGGACGGCCCCCCCATCTCTGCAGTGCTGAGGAGGAGAGACCCTGGGCTAAAATTTTTTAGGAGTGTCTCTCAACTTCTAACAATTTAAGGATTTTTGTTCACCTTTTTAGTACTTGTTTCTAATTTTATTGAGTTTTGATTTGAAGAAAATAGTCTATAAAATTTCGATTTGAATGCCCCGCAGTAGATATTGGGGGTGGGGAGGAGCTGGGAGGCGCCCGAGTGGGGTCTGGGGAGGTGAGTGCTCCCGAGAGCTCTTCCCTGGACCCCTGTGTTGTCTGCTGTGTCCTCAGGATGGAGGCTCCCTTGGCCGGTGCCACGGCCGCCGTGGAAGCGGAAACCACCAGCCAGGCCTCGGAACCTGCCAGCCAGGCCTCAGACGAGGACGATGCGCCAGCCACCGACATCTACTTTGTAAGTCCCCCAGGGGCTCTCATCGGTGGGCCCCGTGGACCAGATACATGTGGTCACGCATGCACACACTCATGCGCACTCACGTACACGTACATGCAGTCACACAGTTTACACATGCACACGCTCACACGCCTGCACATGCACTCACATCTACATTCACACATGCTTACACTTTTGCACATGCACACAGGGCTCACATACTCATAGTCACACACATATACACATATGCAGATACACTTACGCACACGTGTTCATATGCTCATCCGCACATGGACACAAGCACGTGCGCACACATGCAGTCGTGCACACGTGCGCGCGCATGTACACGCATACGCACATGCACACACGTACACACACGTACACACATGTACACACGCACACGCACACATGCAGGCACACGCACACATACACGCAGGCACACATGCACACGCACACACGTACGCACACGTACACACATGCACACGCGTACGCACACGTACACGCACACATGCACACACGTACACACGCAGGCACACGCTCACGTACACACGCTCACACATTCACATCCTCAGCCTCTCACACTCACACTCACACACAGCCTCCTTCTTTTCGTTCAGACATCACGGTCTGAGGAGGCTCCTGCTCCTTCCCCAGGCCCTGCAGCTCCGAGGCCCTACACCCGCCCAGCAGGGCCGCCTGTCCCTGGGGTCCTGGGGCTGGAGGGGTGGAAATGACCAGGCTCTGCTCCCTCTTGGTGATGGGAGCATAGCAGCCAGGTGGGCAGAGAAACTTCCAGAAAGGCAGGTACACTGGCCCGAGAGCGCGTGGCGGGTGGGCTCCCGCTGCCTGCTCCGTGGGCCGAGGGGGCATGGGTCTGTCGGAGCAGGAGGCCCCGCCCTCTCCCCGCCTCTCCTGCCGGCAGACGCAGAAGGTACCTGGCCGCGGCTGGGGGTGCGGTGGTGCCCAGAGGCCAGGGTGCGCTGCCCAGTCCAGTCTAGCAATCCCCGATGGCAGGCCCTCAGGTCGCCTCCCCCGGGCGCTTCAGGCCGGCGCCCCCCTCCCCAGACCGGCCAGTCTCATCTCTGCACCCCAGGGGCGGGTGCCTGGGCCAGGCCTCCTGCTTAGGGACTGGGTGGCGAGCACACACCCCCACCCCTTCCCTGCTACTTCCCACTAACGCACCTGCTCCCTGCGCTCCGGGTGCTGGGGTGGGGGCACAGAGCTCGGCCCGCCGACTCTCAGTGGTGCCATCACGTGCTCATCCCCCACCCAGAGCGCCCACCTCCTGCCTCCCCCACCCCGGGCTTGGTTTGCGCTGCCTGGCTGCAGTTGGCGGAGGCCGTTGTGTGCGCCTGCGTCCCACCCCGTGGGGGCCGCGCAGGTGGAGAAGGCTGTGTGCCGCAGGCAGGGCCGCTGCCCCGTTCCAGCCCCTGCTTGTCCCGCTGTCTCTGCCGCCTGGCCACCCCCGCTCACCCTCTGTCCTCTGTTCTCCTTCCTCCCGCCCGGCCCCCGCCATCCAGTTCACGGATGGGAGGTACTGGATGTACTCACCCCGCCATCGCCGCCTGCGGGCCGTGACGCCGAGCTCCTCGGGGACTGTAAGTGACCGCAGCTGGCCCCAGGGCGCCAGACTTCCCCGGCCACCCCGGGGAAAGGGGCACGGCCGTCCCATGCAGGGCAAGCACCAGGCCCCGGCCCTCAGTGCGCTACCTGGCGGTCCCTGGTCTTTGAGAGGACGTTGGGGAACTAATCACGTGGCTGGCATGGTGGGGCGCACCTGGCGCTGTGTGTGTACGTGCGTGTGTTATGTGACCGCGTCTCCGGCCCTGAACCGCCTCCGAGTCGGCACCCTGGTCCACCTGTGCCGCACAACAGAGCTGTGAGGCGAGGGCCCAGTGTGGGGTCTGCGTCTGACCCCAGCCTGCCCTCCGACCCCTGGCCCCGACCTGCACCTTCCCCTCGCCCAGCCCTGCAGTGCCAGGGACAGGTGAGTGGCCACACGCCGGCCTGCGCTGGGTGGACTTGTCTCCTCGTTCAGACCTCGCTGCCGCCGATGACTCCCCAAGGGGGCGTCTGCCCCTTCACAGGGATGGTCACACGGGACAGCTGAGGGACGCCCACTGGCCCTGTCGAGACAGAGATAGGAGCTGATAGAGTCTCAATGCCCACTTCACAGATGGAGAAACTGAGGGCTTGGCCCCCTGAGGAGCCCACGAGAGCGAGGGTCGGGTGCAGTCCAGGCCGCGTTCTCCCAGGTGGTGTCTATCTTGGAGACACCCGCCCAGCCAGTGGGCTCAGGATGCCACGTGGGCATTGGGCGGTGTGGCGTGATCCGCGCCCGTAGACATTGTGAGCAGTAAGTGAGGAAATAGGCCCAGAGAGGTCGAGGAACCCGCCCAGAGCCACACAGCAAGGGAGGACAGGGACAGGACCAGGTGGAGACTGCCCTGGAGACAAGGTCCCCTCCGAGGCCAGCACCCCAACCCCCTCAGCAGACCCCAAGGAGGGAAACCAGCTCCTCACCCCCACCCCTCCATCACCACGCTCTGTCCAGCTGAGACAGCAGGACACCAGAGCTGCTCCAAGCACCGCCGTGGGGTCAGCGGAGAACAGCCCTGGGCCGGGTCACCTGGCACCTCCCGGGCCAGTCGGGGACTGGCTCGGTTTGCAAAGGCTGCCTGGGCAGGAGGGTTGGCCCAGACTTTGAGAAGCGGGTCCCCATGTTTAGAGGGGCAGGAGGGGCAGGGGAGTCTGCAGGACAGATGAGGGAAGCCAAGCGCGGAGGCCATGGGGGAGACGAAGAGGCTCGCAGGGCCGGTGGGGCCTGGCCACAGGGACCGGGTGGATGTGACCTGGAGCCTGGTGTTCGGGGGTCCACACGAGGTTCTGGTGCCCACGCCTGCACCAGCCCAGCTGACAGCTGAGCGCCCTGCCGTCGCCCGGGCCCCGGAGGCCAGCCAGCTGTGGCTGTGCCCGGCCTGGTGGTGGGAGGTCCAGAGTGTCAGTGGTTTGTCTGTGGCAGCGGCTGTCCTGCGTGGGGGGCAGGCCTGGGGCTCCCCCGTAGCCCGGCCAGACACCCCACCCAGGAGAGAATTTGAGTGGCCCCCCTAAGCCCGGTGGTGCAACAGTAAAGCATTCAGCTGCTAACTGGAAGGCCAGCAGTTCGAACTCACCCAGCGGCTCCATGGGAGAAAGACCTGGCAATCTGCTCCCGTAAAGATGACAGCCTAGAAAACCCTCTGGTGCAGTTCTGCTCTGTTACATGGGGTCGTCAGGAGTTGGAAGTGACTCAGTGACCGCGCCACCAACCACCTAGGCCTGGTGGTTGCCCCCATCCCCGACCACCAGCAGGAGGCACTCTGCCCCTTCCCACAGCCAGCTCTGATTGAGGGCTGGGGGCCTCATGTTTGAGCCCTCAGGGGACCGCTGATGCACTGACACGCTCGTCCACTAGTATTGAGCACCTACTGTATGCCGCCCTGTGCTGGGCCCCGGGGATAAGCTGATCCCACTCCCAGGCTTCCCGAGGGGGGGACGCGGACCTGACCAGCCCTTTCGCCGTGGAGCCTTTGGTTGCGTTCGTGGTCAGATGCTGAGGCCCCGAGAGGCCTGTGTGGAGCCACAGACGGTGCCCCCATGGGCAAGCGGACACGCCCTGGCAGGTCTAACCCCTCAGCCAGGTGCCCGTGATGTGGACAAGCTACCCACGGTTCTCACAGACCTGCTACAGGAAGGGGTTGAGCAGGCCCCAAGCAGGGACAGGCTTCTGGGGCCAGAGGAGCCGCCATGGGGAAGGTGCCAAGGGGGCGGAGGCAGCAGCTGGGAGCCCGCGTGGCCCAGCTGAAAGCCTGGGAGAGGGCGTGGGACCCTCACGGGTGTGGGAGGCCGTGTGCCGGCGCTGGCCACTCAGCAACGGGCTGTGAAGAACTGGTGCCGACAGTGCCGGCAGCTGGGGTGGGTAGGGAGCCGGGACAGGTCTCAGCAGCAGCTGGGTCATGAGAGGCAAGGGAGGAGGAGGTGGCCGGCCTTGCAGCCAGGCGGGCGGAGCTGTAACTGGACGAGGAGAGCGAGCATGGGGGATGTGCTTTCTTCTGGATGTGGTGGGTTAGGGGCCACGGGTGCCCCGGTGGACTTGGCGCGGGTGGGCACCCCGGTGGACTTGGCCACGGGCAGGTGCGGTGGGTTAGGGGCCATGGGTGCCCCAGTGGACCTGGCCGCGGGTACCTGGCCTGAGCAGAGGCTGGGCCAGCATGGCGGTCCAAAGATGTCTGCACCTTGAGGGGCAGGGAAGTCTGGGTGGTGACAGGAAGCTGGCCCGGGGACATTGGCAGGGGTCAGGAAGGAGGAGGAGGGAACATGTGTCCGCCTCCTGCCCTCCCTCCCCCAGTCGGACCCAGGCCCAGCAGGAATAAGGAAGCTCAGCTGCCCCTCGGCCAGGCCCAGGTGGTTCTTGGGGATCAGACCCGCCCTGGCTGCCCTAGGCCTGGACACCGACCCGGAGGCCTCTCCTGCCTTCTGTGGAGGTGGGTGAGGCCGATGGCCCCTCTGGACCTGCCGCCGGCTTGCTCTCTGGTACCCAGGCAGATGCGGGTGGGCAGAGGGACCTGGCTGACTGCAGGTGTCCCTAACAGCTTCTAGGCAGCGGGGAAATGGTCGCACCCCACAACCCAGGGTCCCACCATGGAAGGGCCCCCAGGACTGACCTGGCTTGCCCCTAAGGATGGGCGCTGGGCCTCATCCGGGGGCTCCTCTCTGCCCCCAGGGCGCTGGCGGGTCCGGCAGGATGAGTGGGGAAGGGGAAGGAGAGAAGGAGCAGAGAGCAAGCCTGCCCCCCGCCCCCCACCCCCCGCCTCTGCCACCTGCTCTGCCGCCTGCCTTGTCTGAACTAACTGCCTCCCTGCCTGTCCCGCTGCCACCCCCCACTGTCACCTCGCTGTCCCCGCCGAGCCCGGAGCCATCCCAGGTGGGGGGCAGGTTCGCCGTGGGGAGAGGGGCTGTGGCGGGCCGAGGCGCCCAGACTCATGCGCTGTGGGGGACCCGCCTCTTTTATCCTCTCTGTTCTCTCCTCCTCCTTTCTCACTCGCCCGCCTCCTCACACCCCGCTGTCCGCCTGTTCTTCCTGCACGTGCCGCCTGCCCGCCCACCTGCCCGCCCGCAGCCCACCGACGAGAGGTGCTGGGTGTACTCCCCACTCCACTATAGCGCGCAGGCCCACCCGGCCTCCGACGGCGAGAGTGACACAGTAAGTCAGGACGTGGCGGCTGCCCGTGCTCGGGCCCATTCCCTGGCTGGCCCAGACCTGCGGCCACCACTGGGGAGGCCCTAGAGTGTGGCCCTAGATGCCCCAGGTGACAGGTGGGGAAACCGAGGCAAGGTGGGAGGGTGCTGGCAGTTCGGGGCTCCTTAGGCGTCATAGCAGCCATGGGGTGAGTATCCTGGAGTCCCTGGGTGGCGCAAACAGTGACGCGCTCAACCAGTAACTGAAAGAGGTTTGAGGCCACCTGGAGGCACTGTGGAAGAAAGGCCTGGTGATCTGCTTCCAAAAAATAAGCCACTGAGAACCCTGTGGAGCGCAGTTGTACTGATAAACTCAGGTCGCCCGGAGTCAGGGCCGACTCGCCGGTACCTGGTTTGGCTTTTTTGGTTTGACGTTGGCCCTGAAGTGGTAGCTCAGGGAGGCAAGGTCCTGGGCCCTGGAGGCACCAGTGTCAGAGGCGCCAGGACGGCCACGTGGCTCTGGCTGTGGGGGGTCCAGCAGGGGTGGGGCTCCACATTCCAACCCTCCTGCCCACCTTTACCTGCCCCCTCTTGCTCTTTCCAGTAATTTCTATTCAGACACCCACCCAGAACTGAGTGACTGCCGCTGCCCTGGCTGCCGCCTGGAGCCACTGCCCGCTCATCTCGGGCCGGAGCGCTGGGGATGCCTGCCCGCTACCCACAGGACCTCACACAACCACTCCCAGAGCCCCGTCGTCCTCCCCTCCCAGACGGATGCCGGCGGAGCCCCCTCCCCGCCCGCCAGCTCCCAGGGCCGCGTGCGACAGGCGAGCCCCTACCGGCCCGCCAGCTACCTGCACCTGTGATACTGTGAACCTCCCCCGCTGAAATCATGTATTTATTTTGGGTTCTCACTCTTTGCACAGAGACGTCAGCACGTGGGTGCTTTTTTTTTAGGAAAAAACAAAACAAAAACCTGGAAAAAGCAAATGTCCACTCCAGGGCACCTGTGGTTCTCCCCGGGCGCGGCTAGCCCCTCGGCTTTGGGAGTGGCGTCCTGGGGCCCGGTCACGGCTGGAATCCTGAGGCGTGGACGTAAGGGTGGCCGGGTTGCCCACCAGGTGGGCCTGGCGCGGTGGCTGCCCTGCCTGGCCCCTCCAAGGAGCTCACTCCACCTCTCTTCACCTGGACGGGATGCCTAGGAGTCGAAGGCCCCCAGGGTCTCACCCCGTGTACAGGAACTACCCCTGGAGGCTGCCCCTCGTCCCACCTGGAAGGACCCACACTGCAGACAAGCTGACACTCCTCTCCCCGCCCCCTCAGGTGTGGGGGCCTCAGCGCTGTGCACCCGTCTTTAGCAGCAGCGTGGAGCACCCCACTACCTCCCAGGTGACCCCATGAGCAAGGCTCTCCAGACGCTACAACCAGAAGCCCCATCGCCCCGTCCCGAGGCCTGGGGACTGGGGTTACATGGACATCAGGGAGCTGGGCCCTTCTCCCCACGTGGGGGCCACAGCTGGCAGGCCTCACCATACACAGGGCCTCCAGAGATCGCGGGTGTCCTGGAGAAGGGGCTCCCCAAGATCCCCGTGGCGCCCAAAGCAGGCCTAGGGACAAGGAGACAATGGGCGCGGGGCAGTGTTTCTTCATTTAAATGATGCGATGCCCTTGTAGCCTGGAGGAGAGAAGAAAGTCTTCACGGAGGAAGTGTTTGAGGCCTCCCATCTTCCCCAGGAGCAGGGCCGCCTTGCGGCAGTTAAGTCAGAGCCCAGCAAGTTTGAGGGGCTGGTTGAGCCAAGAGCCTTCCGACTCCCCAGCCCCCGCAGACACACTCCCAGCTGCCCCCTCTCTCCCTGAGATTCCAGAGGCTGCACGTTGATGATGTTCGTTTCTGCCCGAGGTGCGGACCCCTGCCCCCACTGACACCTCTTGGAAGCCCCGGATGGGCAGAGCTGGGAGTGGGCTCAGATCGGAAGTTTCTCCCCAGCAGAGCCCAGTGTAGGGGGCCGAGACAGCTGGAAGACACACTGACCCAGGAATTTGATGTTTAAGCCCTTTACGAGCTCCAGAGAATGCTGCTGCCTTCCTGCCGTCCTTGTCCATCCCCTTTGTTCCACAGACCCGCTGTGCACAGGGATTCTCCCCTGACCTCCGCCAAGGGGGCGATCATGTATAGTCTGCGCCTCCCTGAGCTGTAGGGGGCACCGGGCTACACCCACAGGGGCTTCTGCCGCTGTGGCACAAGGACGCACCCCAGCTCTGCGCAGGACAACAGGGACACACACTGCATTCTCCAGGGCTCAGCCGGGGCGAGGAGCCTCCACCGCTGACCCCCGCAGCGACCAGCAGCTAGCATGGCTCAGAGGACCTGTCAGCCAGCCTGCCCGGCGCCCGAGGAAGGCTGTACAAGGGCCCGCAGTCTGGGCCCTGTCCCATCACTGAAGGACGCTGCAGGCATCCTGAGGAGATGAGGCTGCTGTGCATTTTGACGGCTGAGCAGGCAGACAGCCAAAGGTGTCATCTAAGACCTTGACGGTGAACAGGCTGCATCATTTCAGATGCCCTACATTGGAGCCCCTGCCCAGCCCCCAGAAACCTTGTGTCCTCGCCCTGCCTGAGGCTTGGTGCCAAAGGACATGGTGGGTCCCATTGGGAATGGCCCCGGAGGAATAGGCAGTCTCCGCGGTGGCCTCGGCCACCACGACCTTTGTTCACACTCGTGTCCAGCAAGTGAGGAAGGCAGGGGTCAGTCTGGCCCCGTTGTCCACCCCGCAGAGCGGACACACCCCCCTCAGGCCTACAGGGCCCCTCTCGAAGTTCACCAAGTAAGTCAGGTAGCAACATGTGCGGGTCAGGTTGTGCTGTGAGCACCCCCTTGTGGGAGAAATCTGCAAACCTCTGTTGGTATCTTGACATTTCTGTGTTTGTGTTAGTCATGAAGATGCCTCTGGAGCCCTATTTTGTGTTAGTTGCATTTTTGTTCCTTTGCAACGAACTTTCAGAGGGATGCTTCAGTGTTCCACAGACAGTGCCAAGGGGCAGCGTCTCCTTGTTATTCAGGGGCAGTTGAGGGGGAAGACAAGACCTATTTATAATGGTTATTGAACTCCTTGCCTTCCTCAGACCCCCAAGGAGGAAGGCCCCTGGGCCCATTCACTGTTCCCTGCCCCACTTACCCTGAGTATAGAACTCTGTAAATACCCTAGTGGCCAACATGCCCCCCTCTCCTGGATTGTTTGTCTGATGGCCACTCTGCTAAGGAAGTGGACAGTGTCTGATGACTGTACTGTAAAAACTAAATGGCGTTTTCTTCAAGACTGACGAGGTGGAAGCTGCTGTGTGGCCCCTGTCAGCCTCGATCCTCTCCCTCCCTTAGCCCCCCTCCCTCCACCACCTGGCTCAGTGCAATACTCCCACCCCCTGGGGGGTCTTTCATCATGGTACCGTCACCACAGCCCCTCAGTCCCCACCCCAGGACAGGCATCCCCCACCTCTTTCTGGCGGTTCAGTTGTACTGCCTGGCACACTTCAGATGCAACCCTGGCCCCCAGCTGACCCCGTCTGTCCCGCTGCCCCTCCTCCTTTTTACATTGAAGAGATAGATCTCTTGAATAAATTGGGTAATCAGGCATCCACTCACCTCTCTCTGCCTTTCTGTGGGTTACCTCAGACTGGTTGGGGGTTTGAGGGCTGATTTTGAACCAGATCCCCAGAGCAGAAAGAAATGTTCATGAGAATTTAAAAATGATAATAATAGCTGGGGCTGCCTTCAGGTTCCAGGTCAACTCAGAGAATTTTAAAAAGCTTCTGACGTTAGCCTAGCTGAGCCCGAAGGAGCAAACACTCCCCAGTTTGGGTTGATTCGGCCAGAGTTGCTCAAGTTGAATAATAAATGGACCTCTTTAGGAGTCGCTGGGTGGCGGAAACGGTTACACGCGCTCGAGTACTAGCTGAAAGGTTGGGAGTTGAAACCCGCCCAGAGGCACCTCGGAAGAAGGGCCTGGTGCTCTGCTTCGGAAAGGTAACAGCCACCGAAAGCCCTGCAGAGCACAGTTCTACTCTGCACACAGGGTCGCCTTGAGTTAGAGTTGACTCAATGGCAGCTGGGTCTATTTTAGCTTTTCAGGGGAATTCAACGAGATGGCCAAGTAAAACAAGCTTAACCCAGACTCAAAAACACACGGGTGCCCATTGAAGAAAGGGGGTGGGGCATGAGGCTCGCCATTATAGTTAGTCCAGCACCAACCTCGCGTTCTTCGCAGTGTTACCCGCCCTGCCCGACTCCGCCTTCCCCAACACACCTCCCCTGGCTCCGCCCCCAGGACACCGCCCACTGAGACTCCGCCCCTCCAGTCCCGTCCACACCTGCTCCGCCTTACCCTACACGCCTCCTTAGCCGCGTCCTCCATTGCCCCGCCCATCAAGACTCCAAGACCGTTGGTTCCGCCTCCCGGGCCGCTCCTACTGAGGCTCCGCCCCTCTGGGCCGGCCTTCTCAGCTCCCCTCCTATATATTCCACCTTAGGCCCCGCCCACACAATCCACTTCGTCTTGGCCCCGCCTTCTCTTTTTCCTGCCCCTTAGGCCCCGCCCTCATCGACCCCACCTCCCTCTTAGGCCCGCCTCCCCCGTACTCGCTATGCTGGTTCCTCCTATCCCGAGCCTTGCTCTTCGGACTCTTTTCCTCGATTCGGCCTCACCAGGCCCCACCCCTATCGCCGGTTCCTAGTTTGCCTTTGCTCCGCCCTCAGCTCCTCAGGCCCCAAAGGCATGAGGACCCGCCTGGGCTGCCTTCAGCTCTGCCTGAAGAGCGCGTCTGCCAACGTGGAGGCGATAGTCCGGCAGGAGTCCATCGTGCGGGCCACGGTTGCGGACGGAGGGAAGGGTACGCGGTGTTGGCGTCCCTGCGAGCTGGGACGGCGGGATAGGCTCCGCTCTCCCGGCTGAGGCGCGGACGGGGCATCCCTGCACGCGCCGCGGGCGAGGAAGGCCCCCGGCACAGGCCCCCGGATATTTGCGTCCCAGCCGACGCCACCGTCCCAGCCGATGGGTCGCGACACAAGATCGCGTTCGCGGTCCGGGGGTTGCAGGAACCGAAAACAGTGGAGCCGGAGCGAGAGTAGGAGCCGGAGCAGAAGTCGGAGCGGGAGCCATGGGCGACGAAACCGGCGGCGCCGGGACGACGAGGGGCGGCGCAGGCGGAGGCGGTGGAGCCGGGAGCGCAGGTGGGGAACGGCTTTTGTCTTTACGGTATTCCTGGTCTAGGAAGTGGAGATTTCGGCGAGCTAGGAGACCCCCGAGTTAGTCAGGGAGAGCTCTCTGGAAAAGGCGACGTCTTGAGGACGAGTCGGAATTAACCAGGCAGCGAACAGAAAGTGAGAGGCGTTCCCGCCCGTGGCGAGAGGGACAGCAAGGAGTGAGTGAGGGACAGGGGAATAGGATATGCGGTCGGAGAGGTAACGGGAGACCAGGTCGTGTGGAGTCTGTACCGTGGTGAAGAGCTTGGTCGTTATTCGGAGGGAAACGGGGAGCCATGGAGGATTTTGCGCAGAGGAGTGATGTGGTCTGACCGACTTTTTTAAAACTTCCTGTGGCCTTTCCCTGGAGAAGGCGCTAAGAGGGCTAAGCCGGAGTGGCACCAGGGAGGAGGATGGTACTGTTGCCTTGACTAGAGGGAGGCACAGAAAATGGGTAGATTTTAGAGAAATTTTGTAGGTAGAGGAGACAGTTGTTACTGGAGGTGGGATGTCAGTGGGAAGGAGAGTTGACGACAAGTGGTAGAATTCACAGTTGACTCCTGGAGCCTGGGTCTCAGCTTCCTTGTGGTCCGCAGTCCACGGCCTCCCCCTGTTCCTCCAGCTCACCAGATTCGGTCCAGCCTCAGGGCCTTTGCACTGGCTCTTCTTACCTCTGTCTGGAACTCTCTTCCTCTCATCTTCCTTGGTTCCTACCCACTTTCTCTGGGTCTCTGCCCAATGTCACCTCCTCAGAGAGGCCCTCCCTGGTCTCTCTGTTCCCTGAACTGCAGCCCCACTCCCATGTTCCATCCCTTGTGGTGACATCATTATTGTCTGTGATCACTTTGATGTTACATTTTATGTTCGTTTGTTGGTGCGTTTTGTTTTCTGTCAGGCTTCTAAATGGTGAACCTCTCGAAGTCAGGTCACTGCTGTATCCCCCACCACAAGCACTCAGTAAACATTTGCCAAACAAACACCTGCCTGGTAGGTCCTAAGCAGACATTTGCAATTCTCCCTGTAGGTCAGATTCTGAGGAAAAACGAGGGCAGCGACGCTGGAGGAAAAGCCGGAGCCCGGCACCACGCTGGCACTCGCGGGACCCGTCTTCTCGGTCTGACTCGGGGGACGAGCAGCAGCGGGGCAGGGGGGCCCAGCGCCGGCGGACACGCTCCTGGTCCCCGGGCTCCTCGACATCAAGCTCTGCGTCCCCAGACCGCTCCCCGAGCCCCCGGCAGGCGGCGGTGGCCCTGAGCCACCAGCAGAGCCTGCAGGAGCGACTGCGGCTGCGTGAGGAGCGGAAGCAGCAGGAGGAGCTGATGAAGGCCTTTGAGACGCCCGAGGAGAAGCGGGCCCGGCGGCTGGCCAAGAAGGAGGCCAAGGAGAGGAAGAAGCGGGAGAAGATGGGCTGGGGCGAGGAGTACATGGGCTATACCAACACCGACAACCCGTTCGGTGACAACAATCTCCTGGGCACCTTCATCTGGAACAAGGTGAGCCTGGGCACCCAGCGTGGGCGGGTGGGGCTGGCTAACCTGGCCGCAGGCACGTACATCCCCTCACTCACTGCACAGCCTCCAGGCCCAGTGTCTGATCCTTTTCTCACCAACCTCGTCCTAGCCCCGGGCCTTTGCACTTGCCATTCCCTCTGCCCGAAACACTCCCCCACCTCGTTCTGTTGGCTAGTTCCGTCTCATCTTTCACGTCTCCTCTTCAGAGAGGCTTTTCTGGCCATCCTCGGTTACTCGGGCACTGGGGTTCTTTGTCAAAGCCCTGCTTCCTGCTCTGAGCAAATGATTTAACAAACTCGTACTGTGCGCCTGCATCTCCTGCTGCAGGCAGTGGGCGCTGTTAGCAAGCAGACGGCAGCCCCTGCCCCTGTGCGGCCAGCCTTCTCACAAGGGGGCAGGCTGTCCACTGGTAAAAGAAGCCAGGGAGGAAACAAGGGCACGTGGTGTGTGAGGTGCCAGGTGCAGCTTAGAACAAACAGGTCTGGGTTGGCCCCACCACAAAGGTCCCGATTCATAACCGCGTAAGTGGCATAATTGTCTAACGTCTGATTTTCCTATCGGACTGTGAGCTCCATGGGCAAGCTCTGTCCGTGGGGTCTGGCACACAGTAGGCGCTCAATAAATGTGTGTCAGATGAATGAGCTTGCCATGTTCAGGTGTCCCATCAACGAGATGAGCCTTTCTGGTGCTCTCTCAGCCCTGGTGGGGAGAGCCATTCCTGACCGGGGGAACCCTCCACATGACAAGGGTTTCCATCGGCCCTCAGTGTGTGACAGGCATAGGTGGGGGTCAAGCGCCGTTGTAACGGGAAACGCCACAAACGAGTGGCTTTAAAGAACAGACATTTACCATCTAACAGTTTTGGAGGCTGGGATTTTGAATTGGCATCAGCTTTAGGGGAAGGTCCTTCCTTGTCATTCTTCTCTGCTTTCTCATTAACATAACAAAAAAGTTATTTTCAAGTCCAGTCCGACTCATGGTGCTCCCCTGTGTGTGTCAGAGCAGAACTGTGCTCGATAGGGTTTTCAGTGGCTGATTTTTTAGAAGGCGATGGCCAGGCCTTTCTTCCAAGGTGCCTTTGGGTAGAGTCGAGCATCCAACGTTTGGTTAGCAGCTGAGCGTGTTCACCATCTCCACCACCCAGGCACAACTAGGGGTTGAATTGTATTGGCTCTGGGAGCATTCAGGGAGCAGTGTGTCCTAGTGGGAGTCGGGAGGGTGGAAATCGTGAGCAGGTCACTTCCTCCCTTGCAGGGCGAATGCTTCGGCCTGGTTGGTGTCATGGGTCAGGGAGTCCAAGTCTCCCTGGCGGAGGGGACTGGGGAGGGTGGCCTGGTGTGCTGCAGGGACAGGTCAGGAGGAGTCCCGCCCGGTGCACCCAGGGCCCGGGACTCAGCGCTGTGTCCCCCCAGGCCTTGGAGAAGAAGGGAATTGGCCACCTGGAGGAGAAGGAGCTGAAGGAGCGGAACAAGAGGATTCAGGAGGACAACCGGCTGGAGCTCCAAAAGGTGGCTGCCCTGGGCCCACTCTGCGCACGAGAAGGACGCCTTCCCTCTCAAGGGCCTAGAGGCTCACACCCTGGCTTAAGCCAAAGCAGGCCTAGATTGGCTTAAAACCCATTCCCGTCGAGTCGATTCCGACTCATAGCAACCCTACAGAGTGGAATTGCCCAATAGGGTTTCCAAGGAACGAGCGCCTGGTGGATTCAAACTGCCAGTCTTTTGGTTAGCAGCCGTAGCACTTAACCACTACACCACCAGGCGTAGGAGACAGAACAGTCCAGGGGAGGGATGGTTTCAGGAACGGCTGGATCCAGATGCTTAGACAGTGTTTCCAGAAAGCCGTTTTTCCAGCCCTCGGCTCTGAGCTTTACCCTAAGGCACTCCTTTCTTGGTGACAATTCTGGGAAGCCGCAGCCCCAGCAGAAAAGGCCCTTCCTGCCCTGACAGTTCTGTCCAAAGCCTTAGCATCCCTGAGCTGACACCTGTGTCCAGGTCAGGTGGGCTGGGCCGCCTGGCTGGGCCAGAATTAGAGCCCCACCCCCGACCCCAGTGGATCCCATTACCTGAAAGGGCAGCGGATCAGGCGCAGGCAGGTCCCTCACGCCGTTACCTGGGCCTGTAGGTGAAGCAGCTGCGTCTGGAACGGGAGCGGGAGAAGGCCATGCGGGAGCAAGAACTGGAGATGCTGCAGCGTGAGAAGGAGGCGGAGCACTTCAAGACGTGGGAGGAGCAGGAGGACAACTTCCACCTGCAGCAGGCCAAGCTGCGGTGCGCGGGGGGCGGGGGTGGGGATGGGGGGCAC